TAGCTTTGGAGTTGAACAGAGATCTTTGAAATTGCCCTTGTAGTGGATCTAAGAAGGCTGCGTGAATATTTTAATGTTTTGCTGTAAATGAAACATGCAACACCCACAAACATAGATTTAATGATAGCGATATTCAATTATGACAAAAAGGATATATTTGGAATAACAAAAAAAAATTTATATGCAGAATATTACAATTTTGTTTTGTAACAGGTGTATGCAAAAGTTTGATCAGATATTTTAAAGAAAAAGTTCTTGTTGCTGGTTTGGAAATGTTTCGTATGTGTTTGTAATGTAGTTTGCTTTTCGTACGTACGTGCATTTTATGTGAATATGTTTTCAGAGTTCGACCGGAATGGCGTCGCAACGAGTTTCCTTTAAGGTTACATTTCGTAAGCGAATGAAATCAAGAAAAGAAAAAGTTTTGTGTCATATTTTGAATCGAATCCGTGACAGGCTCCTGGAAAGGAAGCGGGAAAGCTTGAATTGGTCACGCGCTGGAAAAAGACTTGTACGTGGGTGGATTGCAACGCCCACTTGTGCGTTTCTTGACCAATTAGAAGTTGAGATGTCCTGAAAATATGTATGAAGCTTGGTAAGCTCTTTGATCCACTTTTTTGCACAGATTTGTACAAAATTCAACATTGATAAGAAAGTGGTATCGGGATGCTTTTTCATTAGAGACTGATAATGTCTCAGCGAGTAATTTGACACCGGTGTTATTCAGACTCGTAGAACTCTGACTTTCTGTCTCCTGCTCTCCCTCTTTCTCTCTCTCTCTCTCTCTCTGCCTTAATTGAATGTTCTCTGATTATTTATATCAAAAAGGGATTTCACATCGGCTCGTTACTTTTTTTCTCTATATGTAAAACGCTCCTTTTTTCCATTGGTCAAAATAAATTTTTTCACATTTTCCCTTAAACTTTGCCTTGGTCTTTTCTTCATTTCTTTCAATCCTTTTCCATTGGTCAAAATAAATTTTCGCATAGGCTCGCGAATTTGAACAAAGTGGAGAAAAGACAGTTATTTTTATTTCATATTCACCACGCGTTCACTTAGATTTCGTAAATTTCTGTTAATTTCTGGTCAACTATACATAAATCAATCAGCACGTCAGAAAAACAAGAACTTGTAGTTAAGAAATGCTTGTATACTACGTTTTATGCTATAAGTAAGTAATATTTGTTTCAAATCAGATTAATTTAACTTTGCTAATTTTCCGTAAATAACATGTCACAAATATGTATTTTATTTTTGGAAGATTTTTAAAACCGAGAATTAACTTTTGTCTACAAATGTGTCAAAGTGGCCGATATTTACCGATTTTTATTGATTTTCTGAAAGCAACGAAATAGTTGAGATTTCAATCAATATAATTTCTATTTGAAATACACCAGAGAATTTTGCTTACTGTAAATAGTAAATTTAATCATTTAGATTTAAATTAAAGCTAAAAAGAAAGCTGCAAATATGCTTTTTCATTTTAAAAAATTCATTTTAAACCTTAGGTATCGAAAACTTAGTGGGGGCCCCTATTATACTATAGTGAATAAGGTATTTTATTAGAAAACTTTGTGGAAATATTTGGTGGAGGGTTGTTTGTTTCATTTAGGCACCACCGAAAAATGGATGTTTTTTTTTTCCGAAATGAAAGCAAAAACTCGCTAACTCCTGTTTTAAAATATTATCCAATTCAAATGAAGTTTTCAGTACTTATTCATGAGTGAAATAATTTTTTTAATTTTTTACTGAATAGGTGTTTTTATTAAAAGAAAAACAGACTTTGGGGAAATATTATTTGCGGCGTAAGTTTCACCCCCTTTTTCGATATCTCGTGTTTACTTTTTAGTTTTGGGAGTGGGGGCGTTCTATAGTGGCGTGGAGCTAAGTAGTTAAAACTAACAGTTGATTTACCGACGCCATGGTTTATGAAGGATAATAATGACGAAGAAACGAGTAATTTTAACAAAACAAGATAAGGAATTTATTCACGATTTTACACGCTTGCAGTAGTGTCACGTTCGTTTCAGGAAAATAATTCTTAAAGGCCGTAGTTTTAAAGTATTATCACGAAGAAGTAATACAACAGATTAAATGATCTGACACAAAACAATATTTAAAAAAAATGTTTGACAAAGTTAAGAGAGTGTGGAATCGTGCATAGATTCCATCCTTTTGCGCGCGCGCGTTTTTCACCCATTCCTTCCACCTGCGACTAGACATAGCAGTAAGCCATCCTTTTGTTGCCGTCAAGCTTACTGGCTGCTCCTGATACCATTTGAACTGGAATTTGAAATCTTCCCGCGCAATTTCTTTGACGTCACGGACAAACTGGTTTTTCGAAGTTAGTCGCGGTCCGAACACTGAACCGATAAGTTGACTCATTTATTCCTCGTCAGTTAACCCATAATACAGACAGGGATATCTTAACAGCAAATTATGCTTAGCCCGTTTTGGCTCGTCGTGCGTAATCTCTTCAAGTCGATGCAACTAACGGCAATTAATTCTTCGTCCCTTTTGGCTCGTCGTGTGTAATTCCACCAAATCGATGCAACTTTCAGCAATTAATTCCTCGACCTGAAGCCAACATCTTGTTTGCACTTTTCTATCAGGAAAACTTCGAGCTTACTGCACGTTCGTCACATCACCTTTTTCGACGACTATTTCCTCGACCTAAGGCTAACATCTCGTTTGAACTTTCTTCTGTTTTCTATCAGGAAAACATAGCACTTACAACACTGCCATCACAACACCTTTTTCGATGACTAATTTCTCGTCGAGTGGCGAACATCTTGTTCGAGCCTTGCCTTCGTCCATGACCAGGGAACTTTGAAACCTTCAACAGTTAAGGATGAGAACTTCTCATATCCGTTGAACTCTAAACATTATGAACCAGTACCTTAAAAATACACTCACACTAACAAAACTCGCAGTGAGTATTTCTTTGTTGTGTATGTATAATATTCCGTATAAATTGACTGTTCTGGAACTTTCTTCCTGAAGAACTTTTCCCGCTTTAGCCATTTTGGTTTTCTGTTTTGGCGCGGAACACTGACATTCCTTCAGTGGCTACTTGTCACAAACTTTTTTAATTAATTGCAAAGACCCAGTAACTTTACTGATGGTCTCCACGGTCGAGACTAGATTATTTGTTATTAAAATAAAATTTCTTATTGTTTTCCATCAGACTCATTTTGTTGTTTAATCCTGGCTATCTACTTGTATTATTTTTATGCACTTGTTGAATGACCACTTTTCCTCACTAAGATCACTCATTTAATATTTTTTACTTTGTGGATTCGGTAGTCATAAGTAGTGTCTGGCACAAAGCCACCTTTTAATAAACCAGCACTGCATGCTACAGGGTCCGCAACAAGAGTTCGTTGATCACCGAAGATCACCGAAGGTATATAAGGTTTGCATACGTTCAAAAGTAGATGAAGAGAGATAGTTTGACATATTTAGCTTTCTTGGATTTTTGAGAGAAAATCCTTTGAAATGCCACGTACTGGTTAGAGTCCAATAATATAATTGGCGAGTAACTCAGCGCTGGTTGCAAGGCGTTGAAACGAACCCTTTTCACATGACTTAAGACAGTCTTCTGATTAATTTGTCTCATAATTTTATATCTAAAAGAATTTTGCGTAGGCTCGCTACTTTTTTTCTTTCTTATTTGTTGACCGGCTAATTTCTGTGAAGGCCAAATTTTTAGTTGCAGCCGCCGCTGGACACTCCTAAACAAAACAAATAGGACGACCTTGACCATCACAGCCTTTTTACTCTCGTATTTCAATCAGCAATTAAACAACTATCCTGATATATTTTGAGTCAGAAATATCAGTTAACCAGCATTCGACAGCATTTTTTTTACCGTTTTCTACTCCCAGTAGCAGGGAGTAGATGAACAAACATTATGACATAAATTTAGCACCTTTTTGACGAAAAACCAGTTTCTCGGCCTGGGGCCAGATCTGCGGTGTAGTATCTGTTCTTATCAGCTCGTCTCGGTTCTGCTTAGGGAAGGAGTTTTCCATCTGGTGGTTGGAATACCTCCGACGGCTCACTCGAACCGTCGAAGTAGACGGCCAGGTGGCAACCATTCCGGCGTCTTGTTCTGCGTCGTCGTTCGGTGTTGAGGGTGGCACACTGCTTCACCCCACAGCACACGGTTTCTGTCCCACCAGCACTTTCGGCAAAAAAAAAGAGTACGAGGCTCTTCAGGAAAAATATGCCGAGTTCACAAAAGGGAATGAATTCATTACCATTCCTGAAGCGTACGAAGCCATTGCACCTTGAACCATTTCCCTGTTGACGACCGACGTGGCAACACGGCAGTTTATCAGTGTTAGCAGAGACATCTTGGAGGAGGCTTTTAAAAGCCTCCAAATAGTACCACAAGTATTGACGAAAAGGACAAACTCGATGTGGGACATCCTGCTAGCGAATGTAGAAGGGGGCCAAAGATTGGCGTGGAGCATACTGACCACTAAAAAGATACGTCTCCGAACGGAGTACATGGGGGACCAGAAAAACAAAGATTACCCTTCATGGAGAACCTATGGACATCACGGAGGAGCGTTTGGTTATTTTTTTTTCTCCCAATTCCGACAAGATGGAGACATAGCAGCAGTGACTGGAAAAACAGGCTTTGCAACTGGAGACTACGAGTTGCAAGTCACTATGAACCGGAAGAACCACTCAAATCCCCGAAATTCTAACATGCCGGGGACGTATTATCTTCATTGTAGTCGTCCTAACTGTTGGGCCTGCGGTACTGTGGGCATGTATCTCGATCGTGGCTCTGAAAGAACCCGACGCCACCTGCGGCGCCAAAAGCTCCCAGTAGCTCCGATGAATGGACAAACATGGTCAAAAAGGGCAAGAAGTCAGTCGGCCCTGCGCCGCCTCCTCTTACCCCTCAGCGGGATGTCCCACCAAAGTAGAACGTCTCGTCCAAGAAGCAGATAGCAAAGCGCCGCAAGGAACAGACACAAAAGAAGTTAGGCGGCAGCAGCAGCAGCAGCAGCAGACGGAGTCACATGTGGACCAGGGTGAAGAGCAGAATCAAAAAATGTAGCGGAAGGCGGAACAGCCTGAACAGAAGGAGCAAGTGGAGGTGCAAGCCCTTTTACTCCCAGGGTTGGATGTACATATAGAGGCAGAGGAAAAGCTTCCATCTCGGTCCTCCTCATTGAAGGAAGGGTCGAGAAAGAGGAAGAGGACTCGAAGGTTGCAAAAAAAAAAAAAAAAAGTCCAGACGAAGAGCGGAGAAGAACCTGATTGCAGCTAAAACACAATACGCACCTGCTTCGCCTTCCAGAGAGGATACGGAACTTTTACCAGGAAAGACAAGGAGCCCCTCTTCTTCCTCTTCTAGAGCTCCATCTCCTCCCTCTCCTTCCCCCAAACCGACTCAAAAGAAGGAAGGAGAAAGAAAAAGACTGTTCCAAGCGGGGAAATATTTTGTATGATTGACAAGCAGGCTCTCGAGATGGGCTTTTCTCCTCAGCAGAGGGCCTCTTGAGGCCGCTGTTAAAGTGCACTTCCGTGGACTTTCCGTCCCTGGAAGACTCTCGCAACTTTCCCAAAGCCCCGGGAGTAATCTTACTCTTAAGTAACACAGCTGGCAGGGTGTCGGACTACCTGGCTGAGGCGAAGAATGCATTCCCGAACATTATGATGGTCAAGACGGAGTCATTTGAACTGAAGAAATTGTCTAATTTTTGCTCTAGGAAGGTCCCGGTGTTGCTCCATCCCTCCTTATATAGGCCAATAAAACTAACTTTCCCGACGGACGTCAGCGCCATTGTCTTGAACGGTCAAATTACGACCGATATCAGAACTGGTAGCATGGGACAATCTGTCGGGGTCCCCACACATAAATTTCCGTCCAGTCTGCATTTTAGGGGCTTCCTAAAAACGACTTGCTAGATATCTATTAAGCTACCTAGCTTGAATGCGCGGGGCCTGAGAGTTCGAGGGAAGGCTGTCCGCTTGCTTTGTGATCTCGGGTCTTTGGTGTGGACGTGGCCGCGATCCAGGAGACTCTATTTGTTTGCTGTCGAGCCACTTCCTCGTTTATTCAGCATACAGGAACCGGCAGACCAGAGGTGTTTCCTTGTTAGTAAAATGTTCGCTGTGGGCAGGGGTAGACCTTGTTTATGTGGGTGCAGAGGGCGGGTTGACAGTCGCTGATATTGCTGTGAACAGTTTAATTTCGGGTTGTTGATGATCAGAAAGAGCGTGTAGACTTTTTCTGTCGGTTGGGGGTATTCCTGGTTGAGTTGTCGCGCTTAGTCTTAATGGCGAACTGGAATACCGCCCTGGACCCCAAGATAGACAGGGGCGGGGAGCTAGCGGGAAGGATCGGGAGATCAGAGCTTGGTTGATCTGATCAGTGAGTTTAGGCTCGTCGATAGATACCGGGTCGATCATCCACAGCGGGAGATGTGAATGTGGGCTCAGAGTTGGCTTTCTCTCCAGGTAGCCAGCTAGCTGGACAGGATGTTAGCAAGAATAGTCGAGCTAGATTTACTAGATTTTCCCACATTCCACAGTTAGACTATTCGGACCATAGACTCGTCTGTGCCCAGATGGTTCTAGGCCCAGAATGGCTGGACATTGGAAGTTCAATCTGTCCTTACTTGACAGGCGGAACTTTCAACAACAGCTGATTAGAGTAGTGTAGAGAGAATTTGTGGGGGCGGTTATATGTAATAGGTGGTAGGAGAGGCTTAAGGATAGGATTAGGTCCTTCACCACTGAATACAGCCAACGACTCGCTTTAGGCTGAAACGGTGAAGGCTCTAGAGGACAATCTGTTCCGGGTGGTGGCTGTGGAGGTCCCTAGTGATAGCTGTAGTTTTGCAGGCCCTGAAGCGCGAGGCTAGCAAGCGCTACCAGGGCCAGGTGGCTAGACGAAGGTTAAACAAGATGTCTAACGAGGCTGCGAATATGGGCGCAGAATTACACAAGGAAGAGATATGTCGAGGTTCCGATCGATACATTCGTGAGGTCATTACTCCGGACGGGCGTACTCTGGGGTTGGCCAAGATAGTGTGCGAGGCGTTTCGGCGGCATTTCGAGAGCCGTTTTACCAAAGAGCCTGGTCCCATGTGTTTCGCAGCTATTTGGCTGTCTTTCCTTGGGCTTTCGCCGACTGATGCAGCTATCTACAAGGGTTAGATCACAGAGAGCGAAGTTCACTTGGCAAGGTCGGCACTGGTAGGTGTCCGGGACTTGATGAAATGTACTTGAGGCTGTCGCACATCGTTGTTCCGATTTTGACACTGGTGTTCAACAACTTCTCCAGGTAGGAGTCCATCCCCGACCGGATTTCCAGGGGCGTGATCACGCTGCTGAAAAAAGGCAAGGGTGTTGGGCGGGATTTAGACGATTATAGGCCAATAACTATGCCAAATACAGAGTTAAAGATGTTGGCAAAGATACTGATGTTGCGTTTGCAGTCAGTTGTCGTGAACTTGCATCTGGTCCGCACAATCATAGAGCAAACTTCGCTGATCAATTTCGATCAGTGCAAGGCATTTGATAGGGTAGACCATCGATACCTGGCGGCCATCCTGCAGGCCATGGGATTCGAACCTGGCTTCTGCAAGTGGATTAGCCTCCTGTATCGCTGCCCCAGTGCTGTGGTACAGGTGAATGGCGGACCGTCCAGCCTTAAGCTGATTCGTGTTCCCCCTGGTGAAGCTCGAGCCAGGGTTTCTGCGTACGCTGATGACGTAACCATTTTCGTGTCGTGCGGCAACGACATTGAGGTGGTGCAGAAGGCACTTGAACGGTACGAGAAGGTGACGGGGGCCAAGATTAACCGCAACAAGTCTTCCGGCTTGCGGATAGGTGCCTAGAAGGGGGCCCTTTAGTTGGACTGATGGACCTGTCCACATTCTCGGAGTGTGGTTCGGGCCCGGACTCCAGCTGAATAAGAATTGGTCAGAGGTAAAGGCAAAGGTCGGAGCGTCGGTCCGGAATTGGCTGCGAAGGAGGTTGTCTTTCAAGGGTAGAGCTGAGGCGTGTGTCACATACGTCTTACCTTTCATCCTTTACCACTTGGCTGTACTTCCTCTTTGCAGGCGCCGTTGGGAGGCGATCGAGCGTTTGTTGACCAACCTCTTGTGGGGAGATCGCAAGCTTTGGGTCTGTAAAAAAGCCTGTTACCAGCGTCCATGTCATGAGGGGGGGTCTGGGATTTCCCACACATTGCAAGTCATTGCCACACCTCCTTGTTGGCTTTCCTATGCTGCGTTTTGACAGAGGACGCGACTTTGGCGCTGAGTGTTAGGGAGACCTTCCCTAGCCTTACCATTACTCCTCCCATTTCTTTTGGTAAGCGCCGTGGCAGTCGTGGAAGGTTGTCGAGTTTCCCCAGAGAGTGTTGGTCGGCCTTGAAGGTCATTCCTCAGTCCAATGACCTTTCTCGGCTTCGGAGACTATTTTATCAGGAATTAGTAGAGGGGGTCGCGAAGGATCCTCTGTGTGAAGGGATCGGCTTGTCGGTATTAGAGTTGCGCTCCTCTGGTCTTGGGCGCCAGCAGCGAATTATCTCTGCGACCCTGAGTTTTTGCTCAGCTGACGATTGATTCGGAACGTGCTACCTCTCAATGACGTACTCTTCAGATGGGGCGAGGCAGCTCTGCCAGACTGCCATCGGATGTGATCTTGGCTTAGAGGAAACGGCTTTGCACGCCTTCTATCATTGTCCTCAGGTGCGACCTTTCTGAGATTATGTCGGCAATTTGACGGCTCGTATTGCACCCAAAATCACCGAAACATTCCTGCTCGGCCTTTGACCACACCTCAACCGTCGTCGGTATGTTCAGTTCGACCGTCGACGCGACCAGATCGGCCACACCTCAACTTCCCGTCGTCGACACGTCCAGTCCAACCACACTTTTATTACCTGACCTCGAAATCCAGTCGACCGACGATCAACTTACCTACCATTGGTTTCACTAAAGATTACCAGACCAGTCTATTCGAACCTGACATTTAATTCAGCAAATCTTTTTTCTGTTTTCGATGTATTTTAAAAAAGACCCACGTTCTTTTAACGAAATAGAACTGACGTTTGGTTAAAATACAAAACTTTCGCCTTTTCTCCTCATTGTCTTGGCTATTCACACCTTTCTTTGAATACAAATAAGTTTGTGGGATTGACATCCTTATCGGCCCCGCAACGTTTTCATTGGTTCAAAAGCAATTTCACATAGGCTCGCGAATTTCTTTCCTTCTTCTTCGTCAATGCTCCGAATTTGAAGAGAATGGGTTAAGGGAGTTATTATTATTTCACACTCACTACAGTCTAACATTTTTACAGTATTTGAAAGAAAAATCCATGAAGATATTTCAGTAAAAATATGTAATATAAAGTATGAAAAGACTGAAAATTCGGCACTCATCTTGCCAAAAACAATTCAATAAAACTCAAAACATAAAATAAAAATATATGTGTGCATACATGGATACAAGCATACATGAAAAAATGGCTTTACAATGTGTATATGTGTGTGTATATGCATGCACAAATATATAAGAGTGGGCGTGTATATATATTCATGTTTGTACATGAAGCTTATGGTCAGTGAGGACATAGAAAGTTCTTCCTTCTAAAAATGTTGGAAATATCGGATGACATTGTACAGCGCTTGCATCCGAAGTTAATGTATCGGACAGCAGTTTACAACAATTAGAGATAAAGGGTATCGGTAACCATGAATCCGATAATGGCAAAATCTGAAGCATCTTCTACCAAGGACAATCGTACTTTATGCTTAGCATCTTTGGATAACTTTTCTTTAACCAAACTTAATGCAGAAAACTCTGTTTGGAACAGCTCTAGTATCACAATTTGTTTTCTTCTACTCTTGGAGTACATTTGTCAATGGGCAAATTATTCCGGCTACGTTCGGGATGAACCTTTAATAAAAACTTAAGCATATTGTGAAATTGGCGTGATTTTTTTAAGGATTTTAGAACCAGAAATAAATGAATAGCGCTAATTATGTGACCTAAAATGTTAAATTTTATATTTTATTCGATTTTACATTTTACGACAATATTAGGATGAAAGGGGTGAAGAACAACACGACTTCCGGTAGACTGTGTTGAAAGTTTTATTAAAACACGGGTAAACTTTCCGGTACAGAAGAGAGAATGAATTAGATAGCGAGAGAAAAATGATGTTCTAACTCAGGGGACGTAAAAGGGAAAAGATCCGGAAAAGGAAATAACTTACTAAAACAAATGCCAGTATTATTTTTTGTTTGTGCGAAGTAAAGAGCAGGGACTTGGAAGTGTTAGGACAGTATATAATCCTGAAGGTGTTTTGGAATACGGCGATTACGAACAGGATATCTAGGTTGGTTGTGTGTCAGTGATAATGTTGAGCTATTGCTTAGCGGTTCTTTCTCGGCACAGAGTGGGTTGTAGTTAACACTGAGAAGTGAGGTAGGTTCATCCGGCTTGTGATCAAAATTGGCAGGCTCGGATAAGATTGGTGATATATCAACAGGATCAACAACATTCTGTTGATGTTCCTCCTGTTCCTTGTCGAAACTTCCTGAGATGTTAGTGGTTTTGGGATAGCGATGTATCGCATGGGACGCGATAACATTCTGCTTTCTTCACTTCATACGAACCTACCCGGATTTCTCTATTTGAAGTAGCAACACTCGCCCTCTATCGATATTACAATGTAACGGCCCCGTGTCTTTGATTTGTCCCAATCGCAGTATAGGTAGACAAGATCGCCAACGTGTAGTGACTGTTCACGTTGTAGTTTCCACCCTCCACTATGAGAATGAACTCAGTGATTAACCTCGCGAAGGGTGTATTTGGCTGTAATCACCTCCAGGGCAGATACAGGTATCCGTTCACTGGTAAATTGGCTTCGTTGTAGTTAGCGGCCAGTGGAGCGGATGCGGGAGTTTAGGCGAGATGTGGTCACAGTGACTGTTCGAGATGTGGTCACAGTTAGTGACTGTACTGGGATCCTGGTGTTACAGCTCTTCCTCCAGTTCGCCGATGGCTTTCTCTGCAACTGGGTTTTTATTAATGTTTTTCGCACGTTCTATTTCTAGAGTTAGGGGAAACTTATGCAATATGTTATCGTTCTGTAGCGCGATGAACCCTGGGACCGGATCTACATGAATTATGACTGGGGGTCCGTCAAGAGAATGTAGGTCGGAGATCATTGTCTGAATAGCCACACGGAGTGTGTCACCCATCTCATCTGGTATAAGACGAGTCTTGGTATACGATGATACACACACCCTCAAGATAAGTATCAGCTCTCGATTGCGCCTCAGCACATGAACTGCGTAGGAACATCCGAACACATCCTTGGGATCCTCGGATGACCGCTGTACCAGCTGATCTGGGAACTTTAATTTAGTGCATAAAAATGTCGTTTTGCTATAAGTAGTAATTTATGGCGACGTGGGTGATCCAATGAGATATGTAGTGAGGTCAGGAAGCAATCGAGCACAGACTGCGGTATGATAATGCATTCAGATGTGGGTTGGAACGGATCTTGACGGCGTACCACAAGGAGACTGTCCTTTGTAATTGATGCAATGTCTAGATAGCGTTTTAAGTCCTTGATGTTAGTTATTTTTTGTTCAGTCGGCCTGAATAGTAAGTCAAGCTGATCGGGCTGTGAATGGTAGACCGAGCTTATTATTCAGTACGTCTTGAACAGATAAACCGCATACAACGAAGTCCTCAGTCTGCATGATAAACTGATACACCTGGCATTGAGGCGCGAAACACCCCTGGGAGTTGTGGCTTACAAAGTCTGATGGTATGTTGGTAGTATCAGCAAGATTTTGGATTGAGGTTCAACATCAGCTTGCGATCGTCAAAAATGTTGCTACCATTGAGCTGGATGAGAATTTACTACGTTTCAGTTTCTCAAACGCCTGTACGCATAGAGTTTTTACTGTTAGTGAGTATATGGGTCTGGTGTATCGACTGTATAACATATAGGGTGAAATATTTTATTGCAGCTGCAATGATCAAAGCTTTGATTTCGCATAGTAGCCATTTTACTTGGTGTTTCCTTAATTTTGCGCTAAAAAGCAGCTCAGTCCACGATTGCATATAGAGTCGTCAGTGACAATCCATAATTCATCGCTTGATATGGGTAGTAGGAACGCTTTGTTGGTTAGCAATCGGCTATGAGCTTCTGAGAAGTGGTAAAGGAGTTCACCAGCCCACTGAATTTTTTTCTTGGATTGTTTTTCGGCTATGGTACTCTTCAGGGGCGATAAAACCTCAGCGAATGTTGGTGTAACTCGCTCGAGAGAGGATCTCAAACCAAACACAGTGTCAGGACTATTGAATGAAGACAATGTTGAAATTCTATGTTGACTCATAGAAATTTCTCTGTCCGACCATCTCCAACCAAGTATAGTAGTTGTGTCTGGGAATATAGTGGTCTTAGATAGGAATAAATTGAGTCCGCTTCTTTCTAGGGCCCTGGGGATATGACTTCAGTTCTTTACGAGATCGTCTATTGACTATCCACCACAGTATAAATCATCGGCTAATTTAGCCACTATCCCCAATTGTAAATAGTCACCGAGAACGCGACACATGAGCTCTTCCAGGGCTGTTTCGGAAATCGGCATGCCCAAGGCACAACGTGTGTACACGCGTATTCTACGGAACGGAGTAATAATACCGCAGTACTACAGGGATGAATGTGAAAGGGGAATCTGATCGAAAGCACTTGTAAGATCGGAGATAATGTGTTTCCATTGTCCTATGCTTCTCAAAACTAGTATCGGGGAGAGCTGAGGCTTGCTATTGTAGCGGAAACACGGGCCTGGGCTGCCTTAATCAAACGTGCCCGCTAACAATTTTAAAAATAAAACTCAATGATCTGATAAGTCAAAGGCAACAACAACAAAAAATGAGGAATTCAAATAAAATATGCCAAAATTTATTCTTGGCAAATAACAATACAATTGAAAGAAAGAAAATGAAAAATGATTATATTGAAAAAATTCCGGAGAAATAAGATAAAAAGCTATGGCACTGCCACCTCGAAATTTAGTAATGATAAATGTTTAAAGTAGATTGGAGAAAAAGTTTATGTAGCGCCACTGACGAGAAAACCATAACGATTGGTATATTACACAAAGTCAGTATTGTATACACAGAAGATAGGCTGATAGGATGATATATGTAGAATACTGACCAGAAGAGTAGATACACACAAAGTAAATATCCGGAACTGTTTGATGGGCAGAAGAATATGACCAATCAGTTGACATATGCAGATGGTAATTGGAACAGTCAATGTTTGAAGAAAAGTAAGCTGAATACGCAGGAAAGAATGATGTACGCCAATGACGATTACTGGGCGTAGGAAAGAAGAATAGTCTACGTCGAGGATGATTGCTTTGCGTATAAGGTGCCGAAGAAGATTGACATACCACAGAAATGTCTCTATGCGTAGTAGATGCCAGAACGGTTGGTTGTACACAGAAGATATCGAGGCCGTTGACAGGTGCAGAAAATCCCTGAATGAATGGTTGCTCGCTGTGTGTGCAGGAGCCGTTGACAAACACTGAAGATACCGGGACGAGAGGTGATGCGCTGTGGGTGCAAGTACTGTTGACAAGCGCTGAAAATGCGGGAATAAGAAGCCGTGCGGTGACCCACGCAGTTAGGTGGAAGAAAATAAATTTACCCTTAAAAGGACAATTGGTAATCGCATACAATGTAATCAGGGGAAAGACAGAGTCTTAGTCCTGAAAAGGATTCTCACTGCACAGGTTAGCACGTCCACTACGACAATAGATCGCACCCGTAACCAGGCAGACCGCGGGCCGCATATGGGTTCACAGAATACGGCATGACCTTATCAAGGTCATGCCGTATTCTGTGAACGCAACAACTCATCGGACATACCGGTTAGAGAAAACCTACTGCTAAAGGCAGTGAATCGTACGGTAACGCGGTGAAAAAAAAATAATAGGAACATTTAAAGATTCCTATCGAGGTTATGGGAAGACGGCATCATATTGCCCGGAAGAACATGGTCACTAAATAACCCAAATTCCTCTCGCTAGCTAAAAGTGCATCAACTGTGCAAGCAAAGTTACCGTATAGCATAGAGAGAAAACCTATCCTCATTATTTACTCGAGACCTCCCCACACAGCGAGATGTCCCTGGAATACTGTGGAAGTTTACCCTTCCTTTGTGGCGGGGGGTGAGTACAGGACCCATGTTGATGTGAGCCTCGAATCAGCCAGCTGCCCCATTGTAGTCTCCAAATTTGGGGTTAAACACGGAATCATGGGCCGCAGGTAAATCCCGAAATCTCTATTGTTCAGTTTTCTGTCTGGATTTTGTCAAGGTCAAAACAGTTTTTGAGTGAAATGTAAGTGGTCCTTCCTTTATGACTTTAACTGCACCAAGATTTAATTTTGATTCTGGAATGGAGTTTGTGTTAAAATCTGTTGTTATATAAAGTTGTCACAGGTGGTTGTTCTTACGTATAAATTGCGGTTTTCCCATGCCGTTCTATATTAGTCATAATGTAGTGAAGGGACAGAACTGGAGTACGGTTTTAAAGCAGCGGGGTATTTTAGTTTCAGTTTGAGTTTGACCTAGCTATTCCACCAGTGTTTTTGGCTTAAGTAATTCAAAGAAAATTTTCCTTACATTTGGAATACCATTTACCTTATTTCATTGTAGTAAGTAAGTATTTATTTTGAGTTGCTATATTATTTTTATGAGTAATTTGTATTTTTTAAACATTAAACTATTTTAATTTCCAGTTTAAAAAATCTACCACTAAACGTAAAATAGAAGCAAATGTAATATTTTTGTTACAAAAATGAATGAAAAAATATTTAAGAATGTTTTTACATAAATTTAATGATATATAATTATAATTAAATTCTAAATATTTAATTCAGTATTTATTTTTGATATTGTAAAAACGTTGTGTCTGTGAGTGTGAACGAAATTAATCCTGCTGCTCATTCATTTTCTAGGGGCTTCTAAAGATTTTAAGAAGTATGGTCAAAAAGTTAGCTTAGTCACTGACTCGACATTTTTCTGTTAAAAGTTTATTCAATGTTCTTGAAAAAAAGTAAACAGTTACGCTTCCTTTTTTTGGCAGGGGTATTACCAATGACTGAGTCCACTCGTTAGGCATCATTTTTGTTCCCAAATATTCTGGCATAGTGCTGTTATGGCTTTGGTGGTTTCTTTACCTCCATATTTTACCAGTTCAGAAATTATAGGACAATAAGCCTGACCAGTCATCCTAATAATATCCTGATCCGTATCATTTTGAATGGTTTGAAATCCAAGGCTGAAGAACTGTTATCAGAGGAACAAGCAGGTTTTAGAACCGGACGGAGTACAATGGAACAGGTACGAGAGAGAGAGAGAGAGAGAGAGAGAGAGAGAGAGAGAGAGTCGGCGAAATTAAAATAAGTGTTAATTAACGAAGCGTAATGAGTTGATTAGGAAGAGAGGATAAAAATAATAACAATTAAGGAAGGTTCGAGTGGTAATAAAATTGAAGATATGAGTAAAATAATGAAAAACGGACTAACTGGAAATATTGAAAAGGTTAGAAAAAAAAGGTTATTATTTCTTTTTTTTTTTTGAAAAGGTCACCAAAAATTTTTTGTCCTTTTTTTTTTTTTTTTTTTTTTTTTTTTGAGTGGGGACTTAAACATTCATCCTGGCGACCAGTAGTTCCGGAAGAGTGACTGACCATTGTTGAGGAAGTTAACGCGTCCTGTCGAAAAAGCTATCCGGAAATATGTGTGCGGCCAGATGGAATTGACCATAGGAAAGGGGAATCAAAGGGTGGCAGATAATGACAATTCTCGGATGGCGATTGGCTGTCCCGAGGCTACCCGGAACAATGTGGGTGACCAGGATAGAATTGGTCAGAGGTAAGGGGATAACGACAATTCTCGGGTGGCGAGTGGCTGTCCCGTTCGGGCCCGTCTGTGGGGGTGTAATCGAGAGTGTCCACTAGGAGGAAGAGAGAAATGAATTAGGATTAATAGAAAGATACATGTTAAAGTGGTAGGAGGGCTGCCGGCGATTGGCCGTAGCAGTTATGCATGGAAACCCTCAAAATAACAATCCCACGCATCTTCGATATAAGCAGGGGTTTGGGCCGCAAATGCGCAGAATCGCAGAGAGTCGAGCAGAGTTGTTAGGAAGTTAGCAGAGTTATTAGAGAGTTGTTAGAAGAGTTGTTAGCAGAGTTGCGCAGAGTAGCAGAAAGTGACGAGCAGAACCGCGAACAACCGAATTGCGGAGAGTAGAGTGAAGTCCCCGAAAGTTCCCGAGACGAGATTGTAGTAGTGGTTGTTAGTAGAGTGCGGAAACCTGATATGAACCAAGTGGAAGGCCCTGTTGTATAAGCGAGGGCGGACACAATATTCGCGTAAGAAATTGGCATGACAGAGAGAGATAACCTGATACGCAGCCGACTCTCTCTCTCTCTCTCTCTCTGGATTGTTGTTACTTGGTCTCGATTGGGAATCTGTCGGGCCTAACAGCCGGACCCGCGATGATCGAGTGGGTGATGGGTGTAAGGGCTTATACAGGTTTTCAATTGTAGTGTCCTCATAGTGCAACATCAGAAGGACGTGTTCGACAACTTTGTCGATTGCAAGAATGCATTTGATCGTGCATGGCATGACGGTCTTCGGCAAATCCTTAGGGAATTCAATGTAGATAACGGAATTATCCATGTCATCCAAGCCCTCTATAAAGATGCCACCAACACAGTTCTTCTGGGAAAACAAATGGAAGGATTCTTCCGGATAACTGTCGGCGTGAGGCAGGGATGCATATTTTCACCCACATTGTTCAACTTATTTCTAGAGAGAACCATGCAAGAAACCCTGAATGACCATGATCCTTCAGTCCCTATCGGTGGTAGACCTATATGTAACCTACATTTTGCAGACGACATTGACCTCATAGCAGGTAGTACCAGTGAGTTGCAGGACTTGACCAACAAACTTGTTGAAAGAGCATGAGAGCATATGTGCTGATTCCTTAAGCTTACGAATTTTCCAATGGTGTTCTTTGTCTATGATCTCAACCTGATCCCACAGAGGGCGGTGATTTCCCTTTTCTCTCCATATGTGGTCAGCCAAGCCTGATTTTTCCACTTCCCCTCGTGTTACAACTTTCTGGTGTTCTTGAAGCCTTACGTTAAGGAAGCGGCCTGTATCTCCTTTATATTTCTTTCCGCAACTACACGGGATAGCGTACACACAGTCTTTTGTCATGTTCCCCACTGTGGGTGATCTTACTCGGGAGAGATATTTGCGAAGTGTCGTTCAGCTTTTGAAGGTTGTCCTGATGTTATATGATAGAACAGTTTACCCAAATAAAGGCCAAACCACTGTTGATGAAGGTTCAAACCTGAGGATAAGGGCTTGTGCATGTCGTATGTGGGTTGATTGTGAAGCACCGTCCTTTGGTAAATATTGGATAGTGAGAGGGTCAACGACTGTTATCATTGGTTTTCATGAAGGGCATACCAACTAGCACGTCCACATCAAGTTTGTTGACCAAGAGGACGTCAAGACGAAAACTGTGGTCCTCTTGGTTTAGGCAAAGGTCAACTTCCTCGACACTTTTGAGATGAGTTGCTCTGTCCGCTTGTAAGTCCCTCGGTGCAGTTTTCTTTATAGTTGCACCTGTGCACTTGGCAAAAGATGTTCTTATTTTGATCACTTCAATACCAGAATCAATTGTTAAATGAACTGAATGGTGTTCATAGAACACCTTTATTTCTGCGGACTTAATACTACTCACACGACGTATTGATCAAGTCACATTTTGGGGAGAGTTTCTCTGATTTGTGTCAGAATGATCCATTGTGGCGGGAGCGATATCACCCCCGAAATAATAATAATGATAATAAAGGAGAATATGCTGTAAAACAGAAAAAAAGGCGTTTTCAAAAGAACCAAAATGTTAAAAATGTTGTAAAGACTTTGAAAATTAAATGTTACAGAAAGTTAACTTAGAACAGGAAATACAATCATTTTGTAAGTGTACAAAGGATATCAGATTACTAATGGAGAATTACTGGAACAATGATAATTGGAACTTTTAGAAAAAGAAATGGATTTTGACACTGAGAATCTAAGTTAAAATAAAGAAAGTTTTGATTTAGAATTTATTTTTGAAAGAAGACGCTGTAGTTTACAAAAAGCGTCAGAGTGGTTGATAGCGTAGTGATAAACAATGAAGTTTTGTTGTGGACCTTGGAAACCAATCGATGAAAAAGTAAACTGTTTACTCTCGGAAGAGTGTAATTGTACTTTGAAAGTATGTCAATACGTTCGCACTAGAAAAACAGAATACGTCGCCAGTTCTCTATATAAAGAGGCGAGCCAAACGCAAGATAGGGAGAGTTCCGGGTTCGTCTGTCTTCGAATGCAGTCGAACTGAGGAGTGACGTCAGAGATTGAAAAGAAAGCGTCAGCTGCTGAACGGGGGCGAAGAGCGGAATACCGCCGCTACATCTAAGTACCGCTACTCCTGCTACTATGAATACTACCACTAGTATTACGTCTACTGAGTACGGGAACATCAAAGGTTGTAGTAGTTGCGCTAAGAACAAACCCAAAAGGGTTAAAAACGAAGGCCACATTTCTCCTTAGCGAAATTATTCGAAGTATTTGTGTTTGACTATTGTTCACATACAAGAAACATTCAACCTTGTGCAACAAGAATTGTTTTTGTGTGTTTGCTTTTATATATAAAAAAAAACTTTTGTCCTCTCAAAATCGAATCGACTTGGTTATTTATTTTTCTGTTAACCTAATTCTT